AGCGATTGAGCAATGAATAATGTCAGCCTTGAGGTATATACATACCCATAGGCCTCAAAACATAAAATAATAAAAATAACAATTACAACTCATGGTCAAGTCTCAAGACCAGCCCAAGAAAAAATATTATAAATAATAAATTAATATTAAGCATAAAAATCTATATATAAAAGTGTATATGGTCAAAAGCCTGCAAATGACCACAAAGGCCTTTAAAAATAAAAATTAACTTTTTTACTTTACATTGAAAAGAAAAACAAAATTCATGTAGTCACATACCACTGTGTAACTACATACTCAAAAAAACAAAGAATTCTGTAAAATAATCAATAACTAAAGAGTTACAGACATTTAAAGTTACAGAACCAAATCAGCTGATGACATAAACAAAGTTCATTGGAGGCGAACTCAAGATAAACAAGGTTTCAAGGCTTGTGCAACATGTACAACCTTGTAGTTCAGCAACTATAACCAAGTAACCAGTTTAGGCCACATATTCTGAACCCTGACCAGCCACTTGGTCATGTAACCTGTTTTGTTTATCCCTAACCTTAATAACCTTTCTGAGCGAACTCAGAATATCCTCTTACCTCAGCCATCCATCAGAATAACCCTGGTCCAGTTTGAAATCAACAGAATTGAGAATTGGCCCATTTCAATCTGGCCCAAGTAGTTAATTTGTTCTCAGCCAGTACATATCAGAATACCTCAACCAATCCCCTCCAAAATGGATTGGAGGCGAAACAAAAAGCCTCCTTTGGATATCTGGAACCCTAGCAATACCTTGGTATTGCATCATAATATCCTGACTGGGTAGCTGTACCCGTGGTTACAGTTACAACTGTTTCAGCCTTTGGGATACTGATAACCAAGGCCTTGGGAATGGCTTCCACTCAGCCAAACAAGCCCAAAGCATCAGTGTCATCGTGCAAGAATGCACTGCAAGCCACCCTAAGGTGTGTGGCTATATAAAGACTCCTTTATTGAGTGCTTAAACCTCAGAAATTCACCCACTTCACCATATATACTACTATATACCTGAAGCCAGCATTTCCAACCATTTCTTTTATCAACCCTAGCATTCCAACCACGAAACAGAGCTCCTCTTTTACTGCTACCTTCAGCCTTAACCTGTAGCCTTTGCCCTTAAAAGATCCCAGCTCCTTATTCCTTTAAAATTGGCCATTTTCTTACTTTCTGTTGCAGAAGTATTGCTCTAGAATTTGCCCAGGAATCCTCAACTCATCCAAAAGACCTTTTTGGACGAACTCCTTGTGATCTATTGTCTAACAAACAATTCACCCTTCCTCAATTCCTCCTTTGGAATTCAGAGTATTGATTAAAACTCAACTCTAGGCCTCTTAACAAGTAATATTGTGAGGTTATAATTTCTTTGATTGTTTAACCAACAATCCCCTTTTTTGTAAGTTTAAATACACTTTAAACCTTAAAATTTAATATAAAATTACTAACAAAAATTATTAGGACAGGAATAGTACTAGAATTTCCTTCTAGTTTCATATCCAGACCTTACAAATAACCAACAAGGAGAGGTGTGTTGGCAAAAACAGAGATGATGGATGTCAAGAAGTTCAAGAAAGAATATTTTTGAAGGTTTTCTTGAAGAAGTCGGTCAAGAAACGGATGAGTTATTCAGATTTGGGGTTTGAGTCCTACTAGCGTTCCAGCAATGCTTTAAAAAAAACGAGAGGTCCAGCGGCAAAAACGGAGATGGTGGCGGTGAAGAGGATCAATAAAGAAGATTATTAGTGTTTTGAATGAATAAAATGGTTGAGAAACGGCTGAGGTATTTAGAGTTGAAGTTTAAAACCTACTAGAGTTCCAGCGATGATTAAAAAAAAGAGAGGCCCGGAGGCAAAAACGGAGACGGTGGCGGTGAAGATGATCAAGAAAGAAGATGATTGATGATTTGCTTGAAGAATTTGGTAGAGGAATGGCTGAGTTATTCAGAGTTGAAGTTTGAGTCAATTTTGAGGTCCAGCGGTGATTAAAAAAAACAAGAGGTCCAGCGGCAAAAACGGAGACAATGGCGGTGAAGAGGAGCAAAAAATAAGCTGATTGATGGCTTTCTTGAAGAAATTGGATGAGAAACGCCTGAGGTATTCAGAGTTGAAGTTGGAGGCCTACTAATGACTTCAAGAAAAAAACAAGCAATGAATCAGCAAATTTGAAGAGTGTGGCGGTGAAGAGCATGAAAAATGGGTGCTTTTGGTATTTTGGTTGTGAATTTTGGTTGAGGGATGGCCAAGTTATGATTTTTTGAAGTTTAGAGTGTACCTGCAAGTTGGAAATGAACCAGAGGTGAATCAAAAAAATCTGAGTCTGTGGGGTCAAAGAGGAGAAAAAAAGAATGATTTTGGTATTTTTTTGTTGATTTTGGTTGAATTTTGACTGAGTTGTGGTGTGTTGAAGGTTTAGAGGGGGGGTGAAGCAACGGTGGGCCGCTACACTAACCGTAGCGGTTAGTGTAGCGTAGCGCAGCGGAACCACTGTTAGCGATTAGCGTAGCGTAGCGGAATTCCGCCACGACACTGCTAACGCTACGCGTGTGGGCCGCAAAAAAGGGCCCACTATGCTGCGCTACAGCAGTTTTTAGCGGTTTTTATCCGCTTTTTCCGCTAAAAGCGCTGTAGCGCAGCGTAGCGTAGCGAAAAACTGCTAACACTATGGTTTTTGCATGAAAAAAAGCGCCGCTACGCTACGCTTTTTGGGCCAAAAGCGTAGCGGCCCACCGCTGGGTGAAGTCTATTTTTGATTGTGGTGAGTGGCTTTCTTGTTTGGTGCCTGCAGGAAAACTTTCAAGTTCATGCAGGCACTTGTGGTACGCGCGCGCCCCCCTGGAGGGAAATTATGCATAATTAATAAAACCACGTGTAAACGTGGAATCCGCATGTGCTGCGCCGCAGCAAAACCGTGTGTAAACGCGGAAAAACCGTGTTTTTTTATTAATGCCCTAGCAAAATCTTGAAAAATCTAAAAAATCTAAAAAATCTGAAAAAATCTAAAAAATCTGGAAAAATCTAAAAAATCTAGAAAAATCTAAAAAATCTAGAAAAATCTAAACATTCTAGAAAATGTCTGAAACATCTGGAAAAATCTAAAAAATTTAGAGAATTTAAAAAATCTGGAAAAATCTTGAATTTTTTTACAGGATTTCCCTAAAATTTACAAGATTTCCCATCTGGGAAATCATGTCAGGGATGATGTGAGAGTTGAGTGTTAATCAATACTCTAAATTCCAAGGGAGGAATTGAGGAAGAGTGAATTGTTTGTTAGACAATAGATCACAAGGAGTTTGTCGAAAAAGGTCTTTTGGATGAGTTGAAGATTCCTGGGAAAGTTCTAGAGCAATACATCTGCAACAGAAAGTGAGAAAATGGCCAATTTTAAAGGAATAAAGAGCTGGGATCTTTTAAGGGCAAAGGCTACAGGTTAAGGCTGAGGGTAGCAGTAAAAGAGGAGCTCTGTTTTGTGGTTAGAATGCTAAGGTTGATAAGAGAAATGGTTGGAAATTCTGGCTTCAAGTATATAGTAGTATATATGGTGAAGTGGGTGAATTTCTGGGGTTTAAGCACTCAATAAAGGAGTCTTTATATAGCCACACACCTGAGGGTGGCTTACAGTGAATTTTTGCACAATGACACTGATGCTTTGGGCTTGTTTGGCTGGGTGGAAGCCATGCCCAAGGCCTTGGTTATCAGTATCCCAAAGGCTGAAACAGTTGTAACTGTAACCACAGGTACAGCTACCCAGTCAGGAAGTTATGATGCAATGCCAAGTTATTGCTAGGGTTCCATATACCCAAAGTAGACTTTTTGTTTCGTCTCCAATCCATTTTGGAGGGTTTTTGTTGAGGTATTCTGATAAGTACTGGCTGAGAACAGGTTAAACTACTTGGGCCAGATTGAAATGGGCCAATTCTCAACCCTGTTGATTTCAAACTGGACCAGGGTTGTTCTGGTGGATGGCTGATGTACAAGGATATTCTGAGTTTGCTCAGAAAGGTTATTAAGGTTAGGGATAAACAAGACAGGTTACATGACCAAGTGGCTGGTCAGGGTTCAGAATATGTGGTCCAAATTGGTTACTTGATTATAGTTGCTGAACTACAAGGTTGTACATGTTGCACAAGCCTTGGAACCTTGTTTATCTTGAGTTCGCATCCAATGAACTTTGTTTATGTCATCAGCTGATTTGGTTCTGTAACTTCAAATGTCTGTAACTTTTAATTTAGTTATTGATTATTTTACAGAATTCTTTGTTTTTTGAGTATGTAGTTACACAGTGGAATGTAACTACATGAAGTTTGTTTTTATTTTTTAAGTAAAGTAAAAAAAGTTAATTTTTATTTTTAAAGGCCTTTGGTCATTTGTAGGCTTTTGACCATATATACTTTTATATGTAGATTTTTATGCTTAATATTAATTTACTACTTATGATATTTTTTCTTGAGCTAGTCTTGAGACTTGACTATGAGTTGTAATTATTATTTTTATTATTTATATTTTGAGGCCGATGGGTATGTATATACCTCAAGGCTGACAATATAGATGAAGAGATTCAGGCATTACTTTCCATTCTTTAGAGAATGGAGTTATAAATTATGTAAATAAAAGAAGTTAAATATGGAAATTGTGAATTAGATTCAAAGAATTGCCAGATGACAAAAGGAAAACTAACAGTTTGATACTAGCCCAAGGGCTGATCAAGCCAGCTGAGGTGGGAAGGCTGATTGAGCTTGAGCTGGGTTGTAGAGCTGTCTGAGGCTGACTGACTGAGCTGGCTTGGGGGGCCATATTATCCAGGCGAGCTGACTGAGCTGGCTTCAAGTGCTGACTGAGCTGAATTGGAGGAGCTGGGCCAGAGAGCTGACTGATCTGGGGCAAAGAGCCAACCAAGCTGGCTCGGAGGGCCAAGAGATAGTCAACAATAGGACCAGTGTCAAGACCTGCAAGAGCCAACAGAGCTGACTAAGCTGATTACAAGAGCCGGCTGAGCTTGGTTGGAGAGATAGCCAAGCTGAGTGAGCTGGGTCCAAGAGATGACTGATATTTGCCCGAGAGCTGGGTCTGAGAGCTGACTTGAGCTGACTGAGCTGGATGAGCTGTGTCCAAGAGGTGACCAAGCTGAGTTGAACAGCTGTCTGAGCTGCCTGAGATGGCTCTAAGAGCTGGGTGAGGTGATTGAGCAGGCTAAACTAGCTGGGCAAGCTGACTGAGCTGGCTCCAATAGCTGACCAAGCTGACAGAGCTGAATGAGCTGGCTTGGGGAGCCTACTGAGCTGACTGAGCTGGGCCATAGAGCTGAGTGAGCTGGGTCCAAGAGGTGACGGAGCTGATTGATATGACTGAGCTGGGTCCAAGAGCAGAATGAGCTGGCTTGGAGAGCTGATGGAGCTGACTGAGCTGGCTGGAAGAGCTGAGTGAGCTGGCTTGGAGAGCTGACAGAGCTGGATGAGCTGGGTCCCAGAGCTGACTGAGCTGGGGGCAAGAGCCGGTGGACTGGCTTGGGGAGTTTTCAGGGTTGACAGAGCTGAGTGAGCTGGCTCCAAGAGCTGACTGAGCTGGCTTGGGGATCCAACTGAGCTGGAAGAGCTGGGGCCAAGAGATGATTGAGCTGGTTTAGGGAGCTGAGTGAGCTGGGTCAGAGAGCTGAAGGAGCTGGGTCCAAAGCCTGGAGGAGCTGACTGAGCTGGGTCTGGGTGCCGGATGAGCTGAGTGAGCTGGGTTTGAGAGTTGACTGAGCTGAGCTGGGTACAAGAGCTGGCTGGTTGCAAGAGCTGGATGAGCTGGTTCCAAGAGGGATGAGCTGGTTCTGAGAGCTGGATGAGCTGGGTGAGCTGAGTGAGCTGGGTGCGAGAGCCAAGTGAACTGGGTTGGAGAGCTGAGTGAGCTGGGTCCGGCAGCTGGATGAGATGAGTGAACTGAGTCCGAGAGCTGGATGAGCTGAGCGAGCTGGGTTGGGGAGCTGAGTGAGCTGTGTCCGAGAGCTGAGTGAGCTGTGTCCAAGAGCTGAGTGAGCTGGGTCCAAGAGCTGAGTGAGCTGAATCCAAGAGCGGGATGAGATGAGTGAGCTGGGTCCAAGAGCTGAGTGAGCTGGATGAGCTGAGTGAGCTGGGTCCAAGAGCTGACTTGAGCCAACGCTGCCACAGATACGGTATCTGCCCGTATCTGCCATGTATCACTATGTATCTGAGCCCCAATAAAAAAAACTATCTGACCAATCTGCTTTTATTTGCAAGGAGATTCAACAAATTTGGTTTTTGGCCATGCAGCTTTGCAGAATTCTCCATGATACACACAGCGTATTGTACCTGTGGCAGCATTGCTTGAGCTGACTGAGCTGGATGAGCTGGGTCCAAGAGCTCACTGAGCTGGCTGAGCTGAAAAAATTGGGCAAGCTCAGCTCCAGCCATCTTCCATTCAAAATGGAAGATGCGTGCATCGGTTTTCTCCATTTGGCATGGGAGAATTTTGCAGCCAAACCTCCTGAATACTGCTTAAATGGCTCCAACACATTCTTCCAAATCTCAACCTTCCAGACTTAGATCTAGAAATACTCAAACCACCCGGAACATCACCCAAAATACAAAAGACCGAGAAGCTGTAAATCCCCAAGCTCCCAAGAAGAGGTCAAACCGCCACCATGTAGAAGAGGACAATGGCGAAGAAGAAGAACATGAAAACTCTTCTCCTCCAAACAAACAGGTGGAGATTACTCTGTAAAACTTTGACAGCCAACTCCAAAACTGGTTGCTACACCAACTTTGACAACCCTTCAAAAAAAGAAGGAAAGCATATCTAATTATCTTCCTCCAAACATTCAAGACAACATCTCTTTTCTCCAGCAGAATCACATCGAAAGAAAACTGATGTTGCCTCTGATTGGCAATGTCAGCGAAGCCACTGTTAATAAATTTCTATGAGCCTTTGTGTTTTATGTTACTAATTGCATCAAAGTAATTTGTATTGACCCCTTTACAAAGAGTTAGTCAAACACAAGAAAGTCAAACTTATTAATACCAAATGACCAGATTCTTCCAACAAAAGTGGTGGGGTATCTAAGCAAGCATACAAGTCTTTTCAAAAACTCAACTGTGAAGTAATTTGTCTCTCAAATATGTATCAAACACCGCTTTAAAAACTAAAACATTGACTCCATCCTTAAAAGCTTTGTACTTCCTCAACCCTCTACAACACCACCTACTACTTCTTGGCTGCAACTCAATCACCTGGAGAAAATAGTTTTTGTAGGGAGTGGTCTAACAATGTTTCTTAGCTAACCCTTGCAAAGGACAAATGGAAGGCCAAGGAGAGTTTCAAGGCTTATAGCCATGGGGACATGTCATACAAGAAGAAGTAGAAGAAGCTCTTGGGGTTGAGATTGTAAAGAAGAAAAAAGAATAGGCTTTGGTTAAAATAAATCTCAGGGCTGCTCTCAACAAGACCCTTTTTGAGATTGATTTTCCTTATTTCATTCATGGACCTAGCTCAGCTAATATTCTTCCTCTTCCAGCGCTTGCCTGCGGGGTTCCAGCCGGAAATTGTAAATTTCCCCAAACCAAGGATCTGGCAGTTGCTTTAATCAAAATAAACCCTTGCTTAAGAATGTTACAGTCTGAAGATTCTCTACTGCACAAAGATATACTAGTTAAGGGGTTTGATTGGATTCTATTTGATGAGAGAAAATTGTGGCTAGCTGACATCCAAAGTGGAGCTTTCCAAATTGTGATGACCAATTGATTCCACCCAATTTGTTCGTTTCTTCAAAACACAGTTGTTTTCCCCCCTTCCTCTGATATAACCTAGATTTGGATTCCCAGCCCAAGATTTTGTTCTAGATTATGCTAACTCAGCAATTTGACCTCTGGGGTTATTGTCCTTTGGATTCTTTTTTTTTACGTCTTTGAAATTATGTCTCCTCACCTGTGCTCACATATAAACTATAAAAAAAAAGGATTTTGCTTGCTATCATCTGATCTAACTTCTGGCTAGAAAACATTAATTTTATTGATTTAAAATCAAACAGTAAGTTGATTGTAAATGAATTTTAATCAAAGAAATGAGTTACAATTGGGTCTAATGTGTTTTGTGTTTTTGAGTGGGTGGATTTTGTTCTGTCTTTTTAACACCATTTTCATTTCCAGGTCGGTCCCTCAAACATTAGAAAGTGGTCATATAGAACCTTCGCAACAGAAGATGAATCATATTTTGGATAGATTGGAATCCAAAATTTGCAATCACTGAAAACCGAAAACGTCCTTTGATCCATCAGATTTGTGTGACTATCAATCCAAATGAAGTTTAACATACCTCATTGCCTCCATCATGTGTGGGGTCCTTTGAAAAAGCTGCAAAGGAACTGGCACAACTCAAAAAGGCAACTGAATATCTTCTTGGGGGCTTTTTTAAATTATCAGGGAAGTAGAACTTGGCAACTTCATGGGAGAGGATTCGAGGGGCCAATGGACTGAATACCCATTTAAGCCTGGATATGCTACACCTAAAGATGGGAGAAGAAATTTGCCACCAAGATGGTTACCAAAGAAACAACTTTAATCAAACAGAAAGGCATTTTTCCTGTCTCAATAGGGGGGTTCACGATTGAACTTTAAGGCCATTTTTAAGGTGTTTCTGATCATAAATTTATAATTTTTTTGTGATGTACAGAAGGTTCAGAAACCAATAAATCAGAAAAACTCAAGAAATTTATAATATGGTTGCTCATAGACACATAAAAATCACTCTAAAGGTTCATCGGTGAACCCCCTAATGAGGTTATAACTGGGGTGTCAACTGATTGTTTGGGCTACAGGGAAAATAAGTGGGGCAAGTTGGAAAGGGC